TCGTGACTTTGCGGCCTTAGGCCTAGTTACGCATGTATAGATGGAGCCTAGCGAGGCAGGATTTAATGTTTTTTCATGGCATTATGTACCAGTTATTATAGGCTAGACATAAATATAGAGATCTGCTCATGAGTGCACCAGAGAGCATCTAGGCCTAAAAATTTCCCGGGCCCTAGGCGGGCCCTCGACCCACGCCTAAATTGTTTCGTTCCTGTGCAAATCTCCATCCACAGCCAAACTCAAACTTGGCATGTATGCAGCCATAGCCTCTAACATGCCAATGAACCAAGCAAAGCCTTGTTGACTGCTGCCAAGAACGCTTTACTAGCAAAATGCTAAATAAATATTAATATTTATAAATTTATAGGCCAACTGCAATGTGTAAAAAATGTAAAATTGTTAAATAAAAGTAAACAAATTGATGAAAATTGTTTGTTTTCTTCATTTTGTGTAATACTTTCACGTTGCACAGCGCGTTGTAAGGCGTCAGTGCGTCGCTACAGGAGGCGATCGCCTCATGAAAAAAAAACTCTAAAAAAAAACTCTCCCTATTTTTTGGTTTTCAAACTTGGGATCTCTGATTTAACTTTTTGATGTTGAAAAAAAAATCTCTTAACCATCCAGCTTCAGCCTCCATTTTCAATTATATATTGGTGATACACTTGCCTGAGTGTTTTTCTTTTCCTGAATAGTTAATAAATGATGAAGAACCAGAAATAATATCCCAAGAACTTCAGATTGAGGAAGGTGATAGTGTGACTATCACCAACGTAACACTCTTTGCAACTGATATTGACTCGGAAGATGATCAGCTACTGTTCACAGTGACAGAGTTACCAGAACATGGCACGTTACGACGCAAGACTTTTGTTCAGGATTTGATGCATGCTGGGAAGATTCTGACGCTTGGAGATTCATTCACATTTGAGGTTTGTTCTGCATTCTTAATTTGTCTTGCACACTAATGTTAAGATATCATTTTAGATTTATTGATTCTATCATTAAATAAGTACTGAGCTACAATACAGATATTGCAATACTAAAAATATTTTCAATAATTAATAATGATAGCTTTGCCATGCCTAGCTAGCCTGGTAATATTATTTGTCCACATTCTATTTGGAAATTGGGAATTTGGGCTGGGCCTTTTGGGACCTGTGGCCGTAGTGTAGTGCGACCCAACTTAACTACAAATATTATATGACAAACATTACCGATACAAACATTGTCCCTAACCCGCCTAATTCTCAATTCGAGGGTTATTCAGGAAGCTATACAATCATACTCCAATTATAACCTGACGCTGGCCCGAGTTTGAACCGAAGATACAGGAACAATACCTCTAAGCCAACTGCTCATCAGTAACTTCATTCCAGTAAAGGCCCTTTGTTCCTAATAATCAGAGACCCAACTTGGTATTATTGAAGTATTTATTGAATAATAAAAATCTTTTGTTGTCTTCACAGGATGTTCTAAACGAGTTAATAGCGTATGTACATGATAGTAGCGAGTTCCAAACTGACTCATTTGCTGTGTCGCTGACCGACGGTCTTTTCACAACAACCGATGTGGTCACAATCGTAGTTGGTCTGTTAAATGATGAAACCCCAAGACTGACAATTAACCATGGTCTTCGGCTTGAGACTGGTATGTGAAAAGAAAGATTGTCTCTAATTCCTGATCATTTTATTTATTAAAAGCAGACACTACCCTCTACAGTCACAGGTAAACTGATGGACTTCATCAGAGCACTGTATTGGGGAACACCAGACCTACCAAGTCTCACCCAATCTGCTCGAAACTCACAATTCGGGGTCTGTCTCATGCTCTTGCACTCAGAACCAAAATCTTGCGTATAAATGTATTGCCTATATTTAAATAATGTATGTACCTGTGTAATATTTGTGACTTTTGTAGTTTGATCATAGCCATATTGAATATGTTGTGCAAAAATGTAATCGCCTTATTGGATACATAAAATCTATTATAGGAAATTTATGTAATTGTGAAAGAGTACATGGACATTAAAAATGCACCTAATTTTAAAAAATACCTCCTAGATATTAGTGATTTTGAGGGGGTATCATTGAAATTTAAGCTACGTTCGAATACCCTTCCTCTTGAGGATAGAATGATGAAATGGTCTAAGAACAATAGCAGCAGCGGTATCTGTAAATTATGTGATATAGATGAACAGGAAGATGTTATGCACTTTCTCTTAGTATGCCCTGCTTTTGATGAAATTAGAAAAGATGAAATTGACAAATTTAAACAACTATATAATATTAATTAGTGTGTTAACAGACAAATTTTGTAAAACTTTAGCGAAAAGAATGTGGAAACATTTTAAATAGCTTAAGCTGACTGTGGTGTTGTGTATGGAATTTTTTTAATTTTTTTTTTTTTCTTGCCCTCCTTTTTTTATTTAAATACAAATTTTCATTTCCTTTTGATTGTGAATTGGGTTGCCGCTTTGCATCTGGCCTGGGTTGCGCTCTATAGACATTTGACAATGCGGGCTCTCACTTAGCGATTTGGTATCATGGTTGTGATGGTGGGAGCTCGCAGGAGCTTGTGTCTGTGGTGTGCCATACTGACTTACAATGCAGGGCGATAGCCTAAATTGGTTTTATTTATACGTATATGTATATATGCATGTTTGTGTGTGTGTATTTATGTATATACAGTACTGTATATGTGTGTATATATATATATATATATATATATATATATATATATATAGTGTCTCTTACACACATCTAGAT